AAAAAAATAAAATAATTTAATTAATTCAATATAAAAAATAAAAAAATTATTTAGTTTCGGTTCTTGTTCGGTTCTTGGTCTAGACCCGAGACCCGACCCAAACCCATCGGTTCTCGATTCGGGTACCCGTTCGGGTATTTAATTTATGAAGAACCGCTCGATTCGGTCCGGTCCGATTCGGTTCGGGACTTTTGGACACCCCTAATTTATATGGAGGTGTGGGATAATTTTTGTTAGAGAAACAAACCATTAACGACGATTCAAACACAAGTGTCTTCCTGGGCCTAATCGATGGCGCTGCAAAAAAACTTACACACCAAATTTCAGCGAAATTCATATGGCATTAAATCTTTGTAATTTACAAAAGCTCCCAAATAGCCCTAAAAAAAGAAATTGAAAATTTTGATAATAAAGAGCAAAATGCCGTTGACGGGAGGGGCATTTTCAGGATGCAATGCGGTAATAAGTGAGAACCGGAGTACATTCGGATTTTCCAATTCAATTCGTCGGCAAAACGGAAATGCGTTTGCGTTGTGCAATTCTTCGGACAGGGCTCGGAAGGCCCAATTATTAAGGATTTTGGCGGTGGCCAATGGCGAGGCGAAAACCAAATAGTAGGCGACATGCGGTAACGGGGCTGTGATGGTGGGTTTTTTGGTAGGCAAGTTATGGGGGCGGGTATGAGCGTGGGAAGAAGATGGTCGAGTTTTTAAATTTTTTTTTTTTTTAATAATTTTAATCCAAAGTTGTCATTTTACCCATTTTAAAATTGATAAAATTTTATTTTTTGAGGTCAACTAACGGTCAAACTAACATGAATTATCCATTTGGATCCCAAGTGCTAATTTTTGAAAGGTTTGAGAAGGGATGGATAAAGTCTGCAAAAAATGAGAGGTTTGGAACATTTGCTGCAATTATTCCTTATAACTTTTAAGTCGATATTGACGAGACTTGAACTTTAAAATCTTTCTTTTGATACCCATATTGAGGCCATTTGCCATGAATTTTGAAAAGTTAAAATGAGTTTTTGAGGCTCAAAAACAACGGTTGAGTTCGTTTGGTTCCTTTTACCAGTAAGAAGAAGGTTTAGAGAAAATCGATCTAATGTGACTTCCTTTAAAAACACTTTTAAAATATGAAGTGATTTTAAAAATAGTTTTCAAAATAAAATAAAATTCAGTCCTCTAAAAACTCTTCTACAGGAAGCAAAAATCATGCCAAATGAATCTTGAGTTCCTGTTTGAGCTCCATTTTGTAAAAATTCATTCTTTCTAAACTTAATTTTCTATCATATATTTTTTCAATCAAATAATTTTACATGTAAATTCTAATTTTTTTCATACTTTTAAACTACGCAATCTCCAAAAATAACTATTACAAAGTTCATTTTCACAAAAAATAAGGCTGACCTAGAACACTTCATTCAAATGTTTAAATGGTTAAAGAAATGATAAATTAATTTATTGAAACTTTGCATCCAGGGGGTAGGTAAACTTATATATCATCAACCTACCTTTTTTTCTTTCTTTCAATGAAGTTGGGTTCTGGAAAGGATATTCACATAGCTGTTTATAAAATTCTCAGCTTTATCCACATGCAAGTAGGCATTAAAGGGAAATCTAGTGAGAGAATGATTGGCCCTTCGAACGCCCCTTCATGTGCATTCTGAATTCATTGTAACCTAATAGGTGCACAATTTTCGAGTGCCGACGAGACACGCTGTTAAGACTTTTACATACTTTAATACCATGTAAACGACCTTATCTAGAAACTCAAGTTTTGAACACCACCACATTTATTTATATAATTCTTGTGTTTAACTGGGAGGAACGACAAATTACATATTAGAATGTTACATGAGTTTCTCAAAATTGCCAACGGAAGAAACTAGAGTTACACTTGTTGCATCCAATTGAATGTCACACTCTTGATCTCCTCCTGTCAGTATTTTTCTACAGAGATATGTACATTATAACACGCTCACCAACAAAACTAAGCACCTCGTCAACGTTAAAAGACAACAACAACTAGTTTTCACAATGGTTTATCCAAGATTGCCACCCATGTCCAAGGCCTTTTAGAAGAAACTAACCAGCCTTCATTTCTGTTGCTAGGCTTTGAGGAAGTAGATACTAGGCCTAGTAATAAGTAAGACTACTCGTTGGAGAAGCTGAAATGTGACTCACTTCAGGCACTCTCCTGGAAGCCAAGGGACCTAGATAATGCTGCAGGATTAGCGTGCATTACAGGGGAAGCCATAGCCACAGGTTTCTTTTCATCACTTTTTGGTTGCAAGGCCTTAAAAAGGCCTTCCCTTCTTATGGAATCATACTTGATCCCGAGCGTTGCCCATATTGGACTCTTTGCTGCTTCATCGGGATTATCAATCCGTAAAGTTTTTGGAACCACGATAGAACTTTCAGAATTCTTCTCTTCAAGGCATTCTTTACTCTCTGGCTTGTTTGGTTTGAGCAATTCCCCATCCCTTGTATGCTTGCCTAGTGGTAAGTCGGGACCGGCGTCCGACATCTTTTCATTTGGTGTAGGCAGTTGAAACGGTAACCATGGAACGTTCCAATAAGGTGTAGGGTAGAATGGCATGGGAAATCCTGTAGGGCAGATGGGTGGCACTGGAACTGCAGAACCCCAGGGTACAAGCCAAGGAACCCCGGGAAGACATGGATCTGGATAAGGAAAGCCGTTATTATTTTGCACAACTGGCTCTAGGGATCCATTCTTGCCTCCCTCTACCGATGACTTTGATGTTGTGCTGGATGATCCACTACGACAATCATCAACATTCTCAACAATTTTGTAAGAAAGTGGAGCCACTCGATCACTTTTATAATACCCATTTTGAATACAATTTGGTACTTCTATATCTGCAAGATTCGAAACAGAAGCCATCGATTCATGAATTTGAGAGTCGGGACCGAAGGACAGAACAGTGCCATTAGGCCTAAATGTTGCGTGATGGAATCCATTTCGACTTTCGAGTTGAGATGCTTGAAGGGCTTCAGAGATTGTGATGTGATGGCAATGAGAGGCAGAATTCTTGTTCTTGCGTCGACCAGCACCCACTGGCATATTCCTCATATTACCACCAGCCGTCCAATATCTTTGACAACTCCTGCAGAAATGGCGAGGCTGACTGATGTTGTAATTGTTGTAGTAACAGAACTTCGTATCCATGCTTTTACAACGGGGACATGGAAGGATTTTGTCCGGCTTCTTCAGAGTTTTGTGCTGTGAATTTGTTCTATCGCTTTGATCATTCTCACTTTTAAGAGGATGTATTGATGCAACATCTTCATCAATGGGGGGAGTTTTTGGATCATCAAATTCCGACAAAGGGTTAGAGATTTGGGATTCCCCTGCAGCTGGAAGCTGGTCCTTTTGTGGATTCGATTCCCAACACTCTCGTTCCGATCCCTCCTAGAATTCAAAGAAAATTCCTATGAGTTCTTCATCTACAAACTCTGATATAACTTGTGGAATAATGCTATATAGCACCACTGCTACAACACCGTTAAGTGATAGGCTGAATGAAAGGCAGAGTAAGTGATTCATTTAATTATACCCAAATTAGTGCCACTTAGACTTGTATTTGTGCTAAATTTCGTTACTAACTTTTAATTGATCAAATTTATTTATTGCGGACTATTCATATTCATATTCATATTTTGCATCAGGTTGATAAAATAATATGAAAAATTCAACTGGTGGACTCAAATTCTCTCCACAGTGAAGCTGTAAAGAGATGAGATACTCGAGAGCTACTCCAATTTTATAAATTAAATTTGAAATTTACTTTGTTTTACAAAATTAAATTTAGAACATTACAACAATGAATCTAAAAAAAAGATAGAGGGCATTAAAAACCAATTAAAAATAATAACAATAAGGGATTTAAACTTTTAAATCCAATTAAACAATTGAAGAACACAAAATATGTATTAAAACCCAGATAGTTCAAAAGGCACATAATATTCATTGAATCTGAAAAAGAGCAACTACAAATTACCTCTTCAATCTGTCCTTTTTCTTCATCTGCATCTTGTTCTTGTTCGACTCTGCTCACTTTATTATCATCCAAACAGAACCCATTATCCGATCCACCACAATTTTCATCATCAATCTCGTCGAGAGACTCGCCGCCGGAGAGCGCGGAAACCTTTTTCCCGTTTTCCGGCAGCATAATCTTCATCCCAAACAGTTTTATCTCCGGCTCCTTTACTTCCACCATTTTCTTCCCACTAAAAGAGTGTGAAATGACAAACACAAAGGCTTTGTTGGCAGTGCTGAGCAGTACGATTTTGATCCTTCTTATAAGTTTATAATTTAAAACACAGCCCTCAAAAATGTGGATCCCACGTCAGCAATTTTTCTGATTTTCTCAGCCACAAGATTTTATGGTGGCCACAGAGAATAAATATTTATTTTAACATTAAAAAAATGTAGATTCTTAAAGGTTGAACCCAACCTTGGTCCCCCACCGGCCCGTCGGTCGTCTCTAAAGCATTGTGGAGGAGGTAAATTGCGAAATGTGCTTAAACAGGTAGGGTACAAAAATTGTCATAATGGTGCCCATAAATAGTCCAATTTCATACCTTGTAGGATGTAGAAATCGAACCCTTATACTGCGATTCCAGCTCAATTAAGACTACCTCACTTCTATCTTTTGCACCACTGAACTACGCCCCGGAGGATTAAAAAAAAAATTTATTGGTTACACGGAATGTGGAAGTTACCTATTTTGTGCTCTCTGGTTTGGGTGTACCAAAATTTATGTAACCGTGTCTACGACGTGGAGAAAGGTGATTGGTTGGAACAGGATTAGTGTTGTACTTTCTCATAGGTTTGTATGGATCGGACGGCTCTGATGTTACTCGAATGTCTTAATATTCCGCACTTTTAAGTATTTATTCCCAGTTTAATTTAAGTCCTTTTGAAATTAAACTAATCTTTTCTTATTGAAAAATTTATTATTTCTAGTTTAACTTAGGGGAGTGTTTGATGGATATTATTGATGAAATAATATGTTTTAAATAGTGATATGATGAAAAATATGTGGTTAAAAAGTAAGAAAAAGTTATTGATATGATAAAAAATATTATTTTATTGAAGAATGTGTGGTTGAAAATGAGTTTTGAAAAAAATGTATTTTTAAAGAATGTGTGTCAAACATGTATTAAATCCTTTTGAAATTAAATTAATCTTTTCTTATTGAGAAATTTATTATATGACCAGGAAAGTAAGACAAATCAAAAGTTTTGATTTTTGGGATTGACTAATCACCAGTCTTCTTGCAAAAGAGACATTTTATACTACTAGTCAGAGTTGAACGTACATTGCACGTTATTTTGAAATAAGTGTTTTAAAATTAATACTTAATATCAATTTGTTTGGAGGATTTGATGATTCTCAATCGAAGTAAAGAAAATAAAATTTAGGATAAAAATTTAAGAAAAGAAAATTGTACTCTCCAAACTTAATTTTTATTATTCAATTTTTTGTAATGATGTACCGCAAATAAACAACATTTTTATACTATATTTGGTACATAAGAATTGATTGATAATCCATGAATTTAAATAGCCCGTTAAAATTCCTACTTATACTTATAGAAATAAATTCATCTATAATTACTCTAGATTTATGTAGATCATAATTCATCGAGTCGAGATTCATTGAGTCAAGATTATTGTGAATTTTAATTAATTAAGAATTAATAACACGAAATTCATATATGACAGTGATTTAATATATTATAGATTTTGTATTATTTATAACATATTGAAAAATGAAAAGTGAGATATTATTGAAATAATTGAATTATATTAGGGTTTAAATCGTTCAAAAAATAATTCTCACTTGATGCGATATTTAATATATTATAGACTAACAATTTACAGATATGTGACGGTCTTATGATCGGTTATTACATAGTTTAGGACAATTTTTGATCTAGACATGTATTGTCTCCAAGTGATTGGAGGATGATGTTGAGTATATGTCGAGGAAACTGGTTTTAGAAGGTTTTAAAAAGTTGGTTTTCATCAATTTTGACCAAATATTTAGGTGGGATCCATTAATCATCGGGAAAAAATCCGAGGTTGATCGCGTCCTCCAACGTGAGGAGATTATAGTAGTATATTCGGTTGTTCAAAACCAATTTTGGACTAGTAAGAAATTAAGGCAGTAAGAGAGCTCTTGTAAGATACGCACTATTTGTACCGGGGGGTTTACAACCCCCCCTCACAATAGGGGGGGCCCACATTCCCCTTGACCGGCCCCCTCACAGTAGGGGGGCCCACAATTTGAGGGGGCCGGTCAGGGGGTTGTATACCCCCGGTACAAGAAGCATTTTTCCACTTGTAATTTGGAAAGTGGTGGGAAAGAAAGGAAAAATGTTCCATTTCATTTAAGTAACAAAAAAAATATAGACAACGAGGAATACAAATGCTACAGTGACGTTATTCTGAACACAGAATCAAGAAACTTAACAAGATTTTATTTTTCTTTCCCTTTTTTTTTTTTGGCAATGAACTTGGCTTCGTCTTTGCGGGTGGCAATGGAGCGCCACACAGACAATCATTGGAGATGAAAGCGCTGGCCGGGAACTTTGTCACTGGAAGTCGACCACACAAATGGTTAGAACTAACATGCTACTTGCTAGCCTCAGAAACAGCTTTAGGCACATTTCAAAACACTGAATTGAGCGACAAATCCAAGCACTTCAGGTTCTTTCCAATCTTCATGTGTGCATATTGAACTTTAACTTGTTATCTGATGCCACGAAACTTATCAAAAATGTCGTGCTATTCAACAGTTGTAGCAGATTTCCTGTAATTTTATTATGCGAAAGATTAAGATACTTGTAAAGAAAGGTCCAATTTGGAATCCAGTTATTCAATGAACTATTGAGCCACATTTTGCCAGCTTCAGAGAGGTCAGAGGACATGGTGTATCCCATTTTGGGGATGCAATCCATTTTGGGATATCCCTGAAATCGAACTTATTATATGATGTGAATAATAAAAGACAGTTCTGGGAAGGGACCATGAAGAAAATTGTGAGAAAGATAAAGGATGTTGAGTTGAGGATATCCAAGACTTTTTGGAACAATCCCAGAAAACGTGTTCCATGACAGATTCAGTGTTTTAAGATATGAAAAATAATTTAGGAAATCTGGGATTTGTCCCGTCAAAGAATTGTGTTTTAGATCGATTCCCATAGGATTAAGATTGGAGAAGCTTTTAGGAAACATCCCTGTAAAATTTTTGTTCGAAAGCCTAATTAATGTAAGCGAGTTCATTGCCGAGATAGTAACGGGTATGGTACTGGAGAGTTGGTTCCGCAGCTTCCGCTTAAATTCAACTCGTAAAGCTTCATGAGCCGACAATGCTAGAGGGAATGGTGTCCAGGAGGTGGTTGCCACTCAGGTTTAGTGTCATCAGTTGTGTCAACTTGGTCAGAGAACTGGTATCTTCCCTGTAATTTGGTTTCGTGCTAGAACCAGTGTCAAGCTTGGTCAAATTTCCAATATTTCTAGATAAACGACCAATAATTTGTTGTTTGTTATATGGAACACTAAACAAAAACTCCGGGAAAGGACCTGTTAAGTTACCAGGATCCTTTAAAGTATAAAGATTTTAGATATTGGAGTTTTGACAGTGAAGGTGAGTACCGGATAACATTTTACAGTTCCGTCAAGATCTAGACTATCGACACAATTATTTGGCTCATTACAAGTGTTGAAACTCGAAACACAAAAGAAACACTGACGTCGGGTAGAATAGTGATTATTCTGCAGGTTGGAACCAATAGACAATAACAGGAATAACGCAAGAGAATAACAACAAGGAAAACGAGAAAATCTTTATTATTCAACAACTGAACGAAATAACTCACAAGCCGTGTTAAATAGCTAGAATATAATAAATATCGGAAATTTACCAAAAATAGCAAAATCCTATAATTCATACCAAAAGGAAATACGTAATGACAGAAATAAGATCCAAAAAATTTGGCTTAATTTGAGATCGTAATTTATGTCAAAAAAGAAATTGAAATATTATTAAAAATGACAAAAAATAACTTAAATCTATTATAATTTTCTCTTTTCTCCATTATTCTTGGTGCAATAAAATCTCTTAATTCCTCTGTCATATTCTTGTCTTCTTTTATTCTTTTGCTTGATCATATATTTTATTATTATTTGTCATATAACTTCAACATCTCAATCCGGTAATTGACGTCACAACAAGTGATATCAATCCTAACGTGTAGTTTAGAATGATAGTTTAAAATCATTCTTAGTAAAATAAATTTAAGGGGTCATGTACATATTATGCACTTATTTTGAGCTTCTTTACTTGTTTAATTATGATTAATTGAGTGAATGTTTACTTAATTTAGGTGTAAACACGTTAGTTGTAGGTAAATTTTCGATTTGAATGCAGTTGACATGAAAAATGATTTTTGGGGCTAAATTGGAGCTGATTTGGGACAATTAATGATCAACAAAATTGCAATCATAAAATGGAAGCACTAGTGGAGCAATCGGATGTAGTTCACAAGTTTTGAGAGCTAAATTCTACGTTTAGAAAGCTCGAGCACTTAATTACAAATTTTTAAAACTTGCATCGAATGAATTATGGATAATTGAGGAATGTTGATTTATGGTTAAGATTTTTGGGATTGGCGCTCGAAGTGTAAGCTTTGTCACGACAACATCATTCAGTTGTCAAGTTCCACTAGCAGATTTGTGTGTTCATCTTTTTGTTTCCATTTTGACTTAATACTATAGTTGCATCCTAACTTCCACTTAAAAAGAAACTTGATCAGCACACACATTTTTGACTAGAATGTTAATGTTATTGCCATAACAAGACACCACAAACTCCCTTAGTGCCCAACTTCCCAATGTCCGAACTAAGAATGTATAAATTGAACACTTATTTGCATTACAGGAAGACAAAGAAATTGGGAAATGGCTGGCATTTCAATTCGCTTAGTAGTCATTCTTTTCTGTTTGTCTCAATTTATGTTCATGATTAATGCAGTCCCAATTATAAGTACTTTCTTAATTACAACTCTTCAAGCTTTATATTTTTCTTCTCTCTTCTCTTCAACATATTTCTCTTATTGCAGGAAGTGAAACCCTAGTGCAGAAATCTCGAGGTAACGATGCAATTGTAGAGAATATCCACAGGGTATGTACTTTAGGCATTCTTGATATTATAACAAGAAATTTATGTTTGTTGTGTAAAAACTATATTTTGATTTTTGCAATACGTGTTGTATTCTTGAATCGCATTGTTTAAAAATTTAAACTATTAGAAATGAGGTATATTTATTTATTTAAGCTTGGCATTTGATTCGCTCTCGCTCTCTCACATGCAGATTGATTCACTTTATTTTTATCAAAGTCCTAACACGTGGACACAATTTTCGTTAGGACCGTGTGTCATGATACTTGATCTCATGATGTGGTTGGATACGAAATATTTTTTTTTTTCGATCTCATCGAAATGCTTAAACTGTTAGATAGGTACATGCAATCAAATTAGTCTTTTTTATTTAAAAATTCGTATAACGTATGAGAAATCTTTGGTTTGAATACTCAGGCAAGTATGTATGAAAGTGGGAAGGTAGAGACCACAAAGAGAAGAATGGGTGTTGAGCTCAATGACTATCCTGGATCGGGGGCCAATAACCGCCACATTCCCAAGCCGCCCCTGGGGTTTTGAGGATTCTTGATTTTTGGATAAGCTTCAAAAAAATTTGCTTATAAATGAATAATTACATATAAAAGTACTTTATCTGTCCTATTGTTAAATTATGCATTGTTAGGTAAACTACTTTCACGATATTGTAGCTATCTTGGCAACTTGACATTTACTTTATTTTCGGTGGGCAGAATTCAAATGCATTTTGAAGTGGCAGACATATATACTTATTATTCCACGTACTGTCTTCCATTAATTTCACAAACTTTACCAGTTCAACATTAATTTCACAAACTTTACCAGATAAGATAATTTTTTTTATGAGGGGTTTATAAACTAACAATAACCATGTTGAAATTCCAATATAAAAGCTTGAGTGGGCTAAATTTATTTTCTATTTAAATTATGCCTTCAACGCGTTCCTTTACATTCATGTCAGATTTATTTTCTTGAAAGGCATTACAATTGCACATTTTTCATTAGTAGATGACGACAAGACTTGAATTCAGGACTTTCGTCAGGTCTAATATAATATTGCTTGTCAAGAAAAAGAAAGCTCGCAAGTCATGAACTTCAATATCACTTACTTTTAGAAAAGAAGACGGAAAAAAAAAAAAACTTAATATCTTTTTCGATGTTACATTACCGAACACTATACAAACCTCAGACGTTCTTGGTCCTTGAATAATTCGCATACAATCATAAAAAGTTAGATTAAAATTTTTAATTCCCTTCAGATAATGGAGCCACAGCAGGTGCAGGGAAAGGAGCTGCATTATCCGTCTGATTAATAGTCTTAAATCCAAGCTTTTTGATCATTTCATTTGCAATTAATTCATTAGCCGCATCACTTGGGTGGTACTCATCCCAGAATACATACTTGCTTCTGTCTTTGCAAAGGGTCGATGCTGGGATACACGTTAGAGCCGGTCGTATCTTTCCAAATGAGCAGCACGGAGAATCTGAGTTACTAAATCCTGCATTATGATAGCAGACGGATGCTTCAACAATTTCAAATACAATACACAAATAATTTAAACAATATTTTTATATGAAATTACATTTTTAATGGATAAATCCACACCAACTAATTACTGAAATATAGATTAATATATAAGGACTTGAGTTATTCCTCGTAATAATGTCGACGTTTTGAGATGGAATCATAAGTCTTAATATGGTACCAAGAGCCATTAAGCTCAAACGAGCGATTTGATCTGATTAAGCCCTGCTTGACACTTAATACTTTTCAAAAATAGAGTTTTAAATAGTGATTTTTAGGAGAATCTGTAATTAAAAAAGTAGGGAAAATTTTGGATTTACGTGCAGAATATTTTATTATGTGAATGTGTTGTTAAAAATTAATGTACAGAATAAAGAATTTGAAAAGGTATGGTTATCAAACAGGGGCTAAGATTCAAAAACGATCACAAAAATTTCAAGATTGCTTTAATCAAATAAATCTCACATTGACTACTTATTGAAATATAAACAATATATAAATGTTGGATTACTCTTCTTAATAAGATTGAACTTTTAAAGATAAAACCCAAAATTTTAATAATTATTTCTTACCATAGTCATTTGGATTGGTAATGACATCATTGACGACATCATAAGCATCTCCAAACTTATATTCTGCATTTGGGAGACTGGTTGATAATTCAATCACAAGTTTGCTTGTTTGTGTATTGAACATTTGGGCAAGTTTATTTGTCTTCTCTTGACACCCACCAGATGAACTTAGAACTCTTTGGAGAGGGATGCAACCCATTGGCCCTAGTCCAAATACCATCAACTTTCGTGCCCCTAAGCTATGCAAAAGCTATTTTTGAAAGAAAATAAATAATAATAATAAGTAATTTTGTAAAATAATCAAAAGATTGATTAACTCGAGCATGAATAATGTGATGACTTACTGTTAGTTGCTCACGAAGTGTTTGCATTAAATACTTAAGGAAAGTCTCATCAGAATAATTCCAAGAATCACTGTAAACAGGCATCAAGTAGTTGTTTATGAAATCGTTGCTTCCTAGAGCCACCACATATCGAGCCTCCTGGAAGAATTTGCCAGCTTCTTTGTTGCCAATTTTTGCCCTTATTAAATATTGCGTTCCTTGAAATAACTCTATTTGCTTATACAAGCAAAACCTCTGGACCTGCACGTAAATTTTAAAAGGATAGGCGAGAGAACTGGCTAGTTCTTTATATCAAATATTGTTCAGTATTGTGTTGACAAGAGGGTTTCAACTTACAAAGTAACTACCCGTTTCGTTCAAAATCCCTCCGCCCCCAGAGGCATAATTTACTCCATTTTCGAGTATGACTTCTTCATTTGCAGATGGATCAAGAAAAGCTGGAGGCCTTGGAAGTCCCATCTTATCCCCTGAATTCAGTTTGAATTATGATCAGCCAAATTTTTGTAAAAGATAAAAAAATGGGTTGACGTATTTGTTAGGTTGGACGAGATAGTACTGGACATGGTACTGTCCAATACTGTGTTCCAAGCATGGCAAGAAATTTGAATATTACCTATTATATCAGCAACTGTGCGACCATTGGTGAACCTCCCATTAGGCATCCCATTGCCAAAGTCGATACCATACCAAGGGAGGCTTGCCCGAGCAAGACTTTTCGACAATTTATTATTGTTCCCAACATCTGAAAGAGAATCCCCGAAGATAAACTGCACTATTTTGCAATTGTATCCATTGATCAAAATTGCGATAATGGTTGTGTATATCACCAATGACAATACCGTCAACTTCATATTAATTTTCAAAGACAACTACTATGTTCTCGGGCTTTTCAAAACGAACTACTGAAAGAAAGAGTGATTGCTTCGGTCTTAAAATGGCAAAAAGCGATGGAAAAACAGAAGGATTGTGTGAGTAATCAACTGAAGTAGGCAATGTTTGGTGAATCAACTGAAGTAGGCAATGTTTGGTGAAAAAGGGAATGTTTAGAATAGAGAGACAACGAAAGGGTTGACAGAGTTTGATAAACCAACTGCAACTACTCGTCCTTTCTAGTCATATTCCACGATGCAGGTAGACTTTCTTGAGCTGATTACACCTAACGAACTAAGAAATTATAAGTTGGCTAACAAAGTGCAGGACTAACGTTAACTTCCATTTCTCAAACACGTTTGGCTAAGTCTGAACGACAAAGTCATTCTTTAGCAATTTTTTGGTTCATTGACTATCTCACTTAAAAGTTTAATTAATTAAAGAGGGACCATAATTTTTCATTTAAATTGTATCTTTACACGACTCTCATATGTTGGGTTTTTTGATACCCAATAAATTAGGACGATGATTTAAAACAGTTGACAGAATTTTATCGACAACATAGACTTGGCTCGACTCGAATACTATCGACACTTTTGGAAGGCCCAAGTTGGAGATGGATTGATAGTTTGATTAGTAGGGAAAAGTTTATGGTTCAGGTGTTTAGTTTGCCATTTTAAAAAATCAGGTGCTAAACTTTAAAATTGTAAAAATCAGGTTTCTACTTTTTATTAATTAATTAAATATTTAATTGTGTAATTTGATAACGTATATCTTATTAATTAGTTAAAAATTAATTTCAGGTCACAGTTTATCAAATTAATTG